ATTCTTATGTTTAAAATCTACATACAGACTTGCTATATCTACAGATATCCTTGTTACATAGTTATGTTAGATTTATTAATTTCAGCACTAATATTAAAACTTTGTATGTCCAAACATCTTAATAAAAGTTTGGTATTTTAGAAGGCAATTGAAAGTATCTATAAAATATAAATGTGTGGTTACTAAAAATAACAAACATGTATACAAAAAAGAATGCTATTATCTCAATACTCCAGGCAAGTACCACTCACTAAAGGTGATACCTACTAATTTTATACATGCACATGCATGCATGCACACACACAAACACACACACACAAATAATACACATACCACCTCTTTAAAACACTTCTATATACAAATATAATTCACTATACCTTTAGTACTTTAAAACTTTGTATATCTTACATATCTTCTCAAGATTGCTCAAATACACTATTTATACTATTGTACAAGATATTAAATGAGCTAACAACCCCACCAATAGAGCAATTCACCTCCTAGGAATCTACATATAGTCTAAAACACATACAAGTGTGTAAGTCTATTCTTGATACTATAACTGATGAGCTGGTATCTTTAAGCCCTGGGCAAAGTTGTTTACCTCCATGGTATCTCATGGAAATCATATTTAACTCCCAACCACTACTCTAAGACCTGTGCTTTCTTTTCCACACCTACTGTAGATCCCCACTTAACCACTTCCTACCATTACAGATTTTAAGGGGTGCTTTCACCTTGTTCCCCTTTGCTCCTTCTACCTCCTGAGCAAAACACGAGCTTCCCCATGTGTCCCTGCAGGATATGGCATTTCCTCTTAGTATCTGAATGACATTTCTCCATTAAAAGGTAGTTGTCTCCCCATCATCTTATCATAATTGATTAAAACAAGTCCCTGGTATATTTAATACAAGATACACAATGAGCTAGGCATTAGTGTGTGAACCAAAGCATTCTTTATAGTAATAAAGAATGGAAGACAGTAGAGACAGCTTTTAAAAGTATATTTTAAAAAATATACACGGCAATGGTTTTGAGACTAAGTAAAAAAGAAGGAGCTATAGAGCGGTACATACACATTTCATAATTTCTTATTTACATGGGCATAGATGTTAGGTATCTAATAATGAATCCTATATACCAAATTGTTGATGAGATTACCACTCATGAGGAAAACAGGAAGTAAAAAACATACAGGACCTCGACTTTTCATTCTGCACACTTTACACTGAGGCTTCCACAACTATTAAGTTTTCTACATTAAGAAAAAGTCTGCATTCATCATATATGATTACATAACACCATCAGTAACTGAGAAGTTTTAAATAATATGCATGTATGTTCTCATAGTTCTATGGAAGTCTAAGCACAGCTGAGCTAGGTCCTTGGCTTGCTATTTCATAAGACTACAACCATGATTTGATGAGATCTGTGTTTTCATATCCTCAACTACAGACAGATCCACTTCCTTCCCCCATGATCAACATCGGGTTCCCTGTGCCTTCATGAATCACTTCTTCAAAGTCAACAAAGGGCATGGCAGTAAGACCTAGAGTAAGATGGTGCTGTACACAACACAAAGCTATCTATCACAGGAGTGACTCACCACTGCCATACTCTATTGGTTAGAAACAAGTCACAGGCCCTGCCCATATTCATGGGGAGGAAATTATAGAAAGAATATCAAGAATTGGGTTTGGGGGGGCTACCTTAAAGATAACCTATCATAAAACAAGATGATTATCAGTCTTTGATGGCTATGATCTCCTTAGAAAGGTTTTATAAAGTCATAACCAACTAAAGTCAAATACAACTACAATGTTTCTTTGTCAAGAAAAAAGCTAGATACTAAAAACAAAATTGTAATAGTAGAATTTTAATTGAAATAGTAATGAAATTTAGATCAGTTGGTCTTCTAAAAGAAAACATGGGTAATAGCATGAATGTAAACCAAGGGATATACAAAAAAGAAAGCAAAGAATCTCAGGAGTTACTGGTACTGGAGTTTTTGGTGTAAAATGCTAAGTACACTAATGCATGATGTATATGTGGGGGACAAAAAGGAAGTATGATAATAAGGGCTGGAATACAGCCTCATAATACTTCCAGGGAGTGTGAAGCGAGGCTGCTGCCAGCCTACAAAGGAACAAAGGTAAAGGAAGGTGTCATATCCCCTGAATAGGGATCCCAACAAAAGGCTTCAAAAGGACTCCGCATCTTTAATAATATAAAAAGGCTAGGGCACAAACAGCATCATCTAAAATGCCATTAGAAATGCTTCACATACAAAAAGGTCTAAGTAAAGCAGGGTTTTATAAAGTGATCAAAAAAGAAACACTAAGGGGGAAAATCTTTTAAGATTAAAGAGGTTTTTCAAAGGACAAGTTGAAGTGGCTGTAAAATTTATGAGGCAGCATTAAACTTCAGTTCTAAGTAACAATAAATTATTCACTATAAAAACATACATGTGTCAAATATTATAAGCCTCTTAAACTTTTTAAAACAATTCTTACAGAAGTTATTAGATGTAGTAGGTCAACATTAACAGATAGCAACTTCTTCGTTAGCACAGTATGACCACTCAGAGAGAGAAGAGTGAAAACGGGCTTTGGTGGGCTACTCAGTGCTACAGTGAGCTGACTACATGCGGAGTTGGCCTTCAAATCAATCTCTGTAACTTTAGCTAAAATAAATGTTAGTTTTATCTTTTCAATGTCCCCATGAATGTAAAATGACAAATATCTGTTAAGTAATACACATGCGGATTAAAGCTCAAATAAAATTTTACTTTTAAAACAAATCAAGCCATAATTATCAAAGGAGTATGAAATACCCTGAGAAGGGCTTTGTGACCCTGGATGACCATCAGCCTCGTGTCACCAACCTGAGCAGAAAGACCTTTAGGCATATCTGTGCCATGGCTCACAGTGTGGACAGTCATGTTTCTTCCACCATTTTATAAAATCTACCCTTCCCTTCAGTCTCTAAACGTCCAACTTAAAATTTCTTTTGAACTATTACCGTTACACACACACACACACACACACACACACACACACACACACACACATACATACATACATACATCAAGAAGTTGGAATGTGGGCAGTCCACCCCACTGGCTGGGGAGCTGAGCTGAGTAAAGAGTGGAAAGTGGGAAGCCAGCTGGGTACCAGCACTCATCTCCCTCTGCTTCACGACTGCAGACACAAAGTGCCAAGGCACCTGTGTTCCTGTTACCATGCCTTTCCAGAAATGATGGACTATTCCCTCAAACTGTGACCTAAAACAAGCCCTCCCTCCTTAAATTGTCTTTGTCAAATATTTTTGTTCCAGCAATGAAAAAATAAAAGGTAGCTAATATAGTGAGTGAAAAAGACAAATTATTTTTAAAGTGTAGATTTTATTATGTTTTCACTTTCTAGTAAAGTGACTGGAGGACTAAGAAATATTATTTCCACTGGGGCTGGAGAGGAAGTTCAGCAGTTTAAAGTTCTTGCTGCTCTTCCAGGGAACTCTTGCTTGGATTCCCAGCACCCAAGCTGGGTGGATTACAACTGCCTGTAACTCCAGCTCCAGAGGATCCATCTCCCTCTTCTGGATCCCATGGGCAACCCTGTACACATCATACATTCAACACAGACACACACACATACAAACATAAATAAAAATAAATTTGTTTTTTATAAGAAGAATATTTCCATTGTATTTTTCTCCAACTTTATCTTGTGGTCCTAAAAAAAAAAGTCCATTCACCTAGACTACTGCTAATGTCATATATTTCCCATCCTGAATCCTTTTATGTACATTTTAATCTTCACAAGTACATGCAAAATCACACACGACCAGAGCATCAAAACTATCTTTGCACTTTTTCCACATAAAACAGGTTATAAATCACATCCCGAGGGCTTAAACAGGCAACAGATAAGTGATTATGCTGCCAAATTCTATACTTCCTTGTTGCAAATAAATAAAAGACCTAGAGCCAAGTATTGGGGTTCAAACCTCAAGCTGAAGATCAGAAAGGCAAAGCAGCTGGGCACTGGCTCTCACTCTACCTCAGACTGAAAGGCGATCCTGGCTCCACCAAACCTCAGACTGAAGCCTCTCCTCAGAATGGCTGGAGAATACTGAGACTTCAATGTCTTCCCATGCTGGAGAATGAATGCCTGATACTAACTACTGAAGACCATGCTCCTATCTTTTATATCCCTCTAGTACTGGGATTAAAGGCATGTGATCAGAGGTGCTGTTTCTCTTTATGACTGATTCACTCTTGTGTAGATCTGGGTGGCCTTGGACTCAGAGATTCATCTACTTCTTAATCCTGAGTTCTAAGATTAAAGGTGTGTGCCACCATCTCCTAGCTTCTGGATGTTGGTATTAAATGTATGTGTCACCACGGCCTGATCTCTATACCTTGAGGCTGACTTTGCTTTCTGAATCCTCACACAAGCTTTAAAAAATCATTAATAATATATTCACCATACTCCCCTTCTTTAGTTATTCTTCCCTCTATATACATCCTTCTTTTCTGCACTTTTGATACAATATGAAACCAGAAAAGCACTTGAAGGGCTATTTGAAGAAAAAAGGTTACATTTTGCTGAAGTCACTGGCAATGTTCTTAATGCTGTCATAAAGGAAAACATATAATTGTCTTACTTAAGATTCCCAGGTACACTTTCCAAACAATGAAACACATACACACCCACACAGAGAGAGAGAGAGAGAGAGAGAGAGAGAGAGAGAAAGAAAGTTAACAGATATTCATAAAATGACTTAAAATGTAAAATCATCTCACTTAAATACGTAGTAAATGTTTAAGCCTGTTATTTTTACCTACCTAACATTTATTCATAACTCTCAACATTAACAAAAAATATAATGTAAACTAAAACCTTATTATTAATAAAAGTAAAAAGTGTCACTATATGAGCCAGTTGCAAAAGCAGAGTAAAGTTTTAAAAACTTGATATTTAAACTCCATGGGGTACCTGTGGACATCACTTGCCGACAGTACCACCGTGTTGTCTTCCCCAGAAGAGAACTGCCATGATTCACTTAATTTGTTTTCTCCTGTCTCCAGCTCACCCATTACCCAGTCGGGTAGCTTCTCTGGACTTGAACCTTTTGGTCGTGCTGCATTTGGTTCATCAAAATAGATGGACTGTTTTTAAAAATTAGAGAAATCAATCTTATAAAATGTACTATAAGTTTTCTATCAACTTTCAAGTTTAACAAAAATTTTTCAAATATTCAATTTAAGTTCAATTATAATATATAAAATGTATGTTTGAATATACATAACAAATTATGAAAGATTAAAGTAATAAGATGGCTAATATATTTACATTTCAGTTATGTTCTACTTTTCTAGAAACCTAATGAACAACAAGATTACATGACAGATAAATCTGGTAATAATTATTTATATAAAGAAGTGATATTAGTATTATAATAGTGGTTCTCAACCTTCCTAATGCTGTAATCCTTTAATATAGTTTCTCATGTTGTGATGATCCCCAACCATAAAATTATTTTCGTTGCTCCCTTGTAATTTTGCTACTGTTATGAATGCTTTTTGGAGAAAACACTTTGTCAAAGGGGTTATTACCCACAGATTGAGGACCAGTGCTTTATAGTTATGGAAAACTTTTAAAATTATGTCTTACTCTATTTCTTCCTGTAGCCATCAATTAATCTGCACACATAGGCACATATATACACAAAATCAGTATTTGGAGTAACCACAATTAAAACATGCCAGAAATTAAAACTAAAATTAAAAATCTCTCAATGATGTGGGAGACCGAGACCAAGCACCAGGCCTTCTTAGTGTCATTTGTGAAATAAAGTCCTTCCCTACAACTTTATAAAGTTGGATGTGAGTGGAAAAATGTGACACAAGATATTTGTATCCCGACATCTAATGCTCTTCATAAAACATTCTATTTTTAGGCACTGAGATGACATTAGCACATTAGTTTCAATGAGCCAGATGCATGATACAGTTTCTGGAGAAAACACTTCTTTTGTAACAATTACCTAAGTCTACACAGAAGTCTTCAAGGGACTACTTTTCAGGAAATACTCACACATGACCCCTTATCTTAAATCAGAAATTTTAAAGGAGATACAGTTGTCTTGCTTATGCTCTACTTCTCTTCCCATGGTTTGGTTTATCTGCAGTCAATCATGGCCTGATATATTAATGGAAAATTCCACAAGTTAAGTTTTAAATCAGGTGCTATTGTAAGTTGCAATAAACTCCGTTCCACTATCTCCAGCAAGATCTATTTGCACAATATACACTGCTGTGCTGGTTAGTTCTATGTCAACTTGATGCAAGCTAGAGTTACTTGGGAAGAAGGAACCTCAATTGAGACTGGCCCATGGGCAAGTCTAGAGGGCACTTTCTTGATTAATGATTGATGTGGAAGGTGTCAGCTCACTGTGCACAGTACCACCCCTAGGCTGGTGGGCCTTCTTACTATAAAAGAGCAGGCTGAACAGGCCATGAGGAGCAAGCCAGTGAGCAGTACACCTCCATGGCTGTTGCTTCAGTTCTGCTTCCAGTTCCTGCCTTGAGTTACAGCCCTGAGTTCCTTCAATGATGGACTGTGATATGAAAGTGTAAGAGAAATAAACTCTTTCCTCTCCAAGTTGCCTATAGTCATGAAGTTTTATCACAGCAATAGAAACCCTGACTAAGGCAAATTCCTACTCACAGCCATTAAGTAGCTTAGTTGTCTCCGTACAACTCTATGCTGTCTGCTATTTTAGGAATCTCCTGGAGATGGGGGATAAAAGCTTCAGAGATAATAGGGAGACTGATGTACTCATTCTAATGTCTAATCAAATACACAGAGTCACCTATTTCCCCAATACTGTTGATCTTGACATAAGCAAAATGTATGGTACTCCTTCTACAATGGATAATAGCACTAAAAGTTTTTTTGTTCTGCCACCAGCAAAGGGAATTATCCTCTGGTGTGCAGTATGCCATTTCACTAAATTTTAATTAGTAAATTGATAAAATGTAGAGAAATCCTGTATTTTGTAATAATTCTGACACTGACATATATATATACAACTACAGTTAGCTGTCCAGTTAGATAACATACTCAGAACCCACGCAAAGTTTATGCTTACAAGGAGCAAGATGGGGACAATTCATCAACTAGCCATAAAATAACTACCTTGTAACAAAGCTGACAATAATTAAACCAACTATAGAAAACCACTTTTAACCACTATTATCAACAGACTAGAATAAACCTTTAAAAGTCATTAAACTGATAATATGTTAAATAATATATATGAAAGAATTAATAAACTAGAATTTACTAAAATACTTAAAATACTGAGTTGAATTTGAAAATTAGTAAGTAATTAAGGTCAGTTTTAAAATTCTTTTTATATAAGGGAATATAAGTGAATAAAATATAACAGAAGACTGTTTTCTATTTAAAATGGGAAAAAAATGAATGAGAAGAAAAGTTTTAACTTATGTATTATCTAGCATATATAACTCAGTATTTTATTTCCCTTCCCAAAGGGATGATACATCACACTCACTTTTAAAGAACTGAAACTACTATGCAGTGGTTGATGGTACCTACCATATATGATGGTAATGTTTTTAGTGTTCCTGGCTCAGGACGGTGTGTAAAAGGGCCTTCGAGTACTCCTCGCCTAAGCATATGCAGTAACAGTTTCGCATACAGGTTCCGATTCTTCCTACCCACGAGTCCTGCACCTGTTCCTGAGGGCTCACACAGCTTTCTGATCCACAGAGCACATCTCTGCCGTTCTGTAAGTACATAAGAACTATGTGAAACCTGATGTCAATGACAAAACATTAAATTATAAAGGTCTATGTAAGTATCTAGTATAATCTAGAACAGGAATCAGCCAACTTTTGTAAAAAGCCCAACTGTAAACATAAGCCATGTGATTTCTCATGTAATGTACTCTAGCTGACCGCCTTATCAAGAAGTATTAATAAACTATATGCAAGCAAATCATGTGACAACATTTCAATAACATTTTACAACAACAACAAAAAATGGTTGTGGGCTGAAAAAAAGACTGTACACTCCCAGTCTAGACTTTAACTTTGATAGTTTCAGTTGAGCAACACAAACATGAACACATATTTCATTAAAATAAGATTCCTAGTATCCATTTTTGATAGCTAATAAAAGTAAAATTTCTGAATACTATTAAGCATGTTTTTAGACAAATTTTTGCATCAATAAACTAACTGTAGACATACTGAAAAGGCTATCTCTGATTCCTAACTATACAAGCACAGAAGCTAAAAAACATTCTCTGACTACCAAGCAGTAGATTTTCCCTCTAAAATTAAATCCAAACATTTTATCTATTAAAGCCAATAATTCCAAGGGATTGTAGTTGATTTAAGGTTTTCTTTTACTATCTCTAAAATAATTGAGTAAATAATTTCATGAAATAATTATCCTTTTAAAAACCCTATCTAAAATGCAGCACATTTAATCCACATATAATGACCCATTAGTGTATTATCTTGCTGTGACACAGGATTTTTAACTCTCACAAAGACTACTCTGATATTTTTATCAGTCTAACTCAATTTGTGGATTACATATATTATAAAGATCACTAATCTCTTGTCTTATAAAGGTCATATTCATTTATTGTTTTGACTACAAAAAAAACCACTAAGTCTGGATTTACCACTTTGTAATCTCACTAACAGGCATGAGAGGTAGGCCTCTAAAAAACGGTGTGTATTTTTGCTCTGAAAAGTATATGATCACCAAACAAATGTTATGAATCTCCAGTGTACTTTATGCAAACAGGAAATACATAAGTGGAATTAATAAGCTTGAGCAAATAGTTGAAAATACATTATCATCACATCTTCTAGCAAATTGACATCTACATTATATCCAATGCACACACATTGATACAATTTGATTAATAAAGAGCTTAATTCTCTACTTAACATAGTAGAAAAGCCCACTGTCAAAGGTGGCTTTAGCTGTAAGACTAGATGAGCTGGTACAAATTTCTAGGTCTTAAATAGGATGAGTTCCTACGTGTTCATTATGAAGTAGTAAAAGAGGGTCATGAATGTTCAATATACGCAATGTGTATGAACCTGTGATTACAGTTAAGCAATTCTAAATACCTATAATCTCTTTTTAAAATAAGGCAAAATATGAGAATAGTTTGATTTGAGACACATTTATAGTGGGAAATCCTAATACAAAATTTCTTAATTGGCAGATCCAAGACAAAAAAAAGCAGTGATTATCAAAGTTCTGGAATCAGCATAGGTCTCCATCAATGGGAAAATGAATAAAGAAAATATGGTATATATACACAGTGTAATTTTATTCAGACATAAGAACAAAATCATGTCATCTACAGGAAATGAACAGCTCATCATGTTAGGCAAAACAAACAAGATTCAGTCAGGAAAACAAATACTACATATTATCTCTCATACACAGAATCTAGACATAAAAAAAGACATGGAAATAAGAAGCACCACTATTACAGCAGAGGAAAAGGAAAAACAGAAGTAGGAGGAGAGACAAGGGAGGACAATAAAGGAAATAACCATGATCAAAGTAAATATAATGTTCATAACAAGTATGGGAATTTCATAATGAAATCCATTATGTTGTGTGATTAATATGTGGTAATTTTTTAAAGGCAGAATATCAGAGATGTGGTACCCATGTATTATTATAGACTATCAGGAGTCATCGTGAGTCAGCAATGGATGTGAAAGAATGGAACTTGACCCACAAGATCTGAAGAGCGACAGAGGAAGAAAGGAGAGGCTAAGGACCAACAAGGCAGGAAAAGAACAGAAGGAGACAGTTCAAGTGAAGGCCAGACAAGGCTGCAGGCTCCGGAACAATGATTGAGCAAGGACTGCATCATTTCTATGTCACACCCTGATCCTTTCTTAAGTCTGTAGTATTAAGTCAGTCCCTCACTTTGAATATGAAGTGCGCTCAGATAGCTCATGGAAATAAGAACTTGGAAGAAATAAAAGCCAGAGATTCTTGGGCTCACTCCACACCCATACTCAATGCCTACCAAATCCTAATCACCCCTACAGCCAATAATACAACCACTGCAGCTTAGAGGATCTCCCTGAGCCTCTCTATTCTATGCAGCTGCCCTCTGGTGCCTTAAAAGGTCTGTACATCTCTACCTTGAAACAGAGTCTCATTCCAAAAGTAGAAACAATAGGACAGAAGTGAGAAGCATGAAAGCAACAAAAACTCTTTCATGGTCGATCTTACCTGTGGGAACACCAGACCTTGAGCAGAGACCCACTTCCCCTTCTGCCTGGGAGTAGGCAGCTGTAAGACAATGTTTACTAAAAACATGTTTACTAAAAACAATACAATGCCCGGGGGCAATAAGTTCCTAAAAAAGGCCTGCCCACAGAAACCACCCTGACCTCGACCTTGTCCAAAGACTAACCGCCTCTTCTGCCACGCCCAGATCAGTTTTTGGTGTCAGAGCAGAACCAGCCAGGGGAGAGGAGAGAGCAGAAGCTTCTCTGGTGGGAGCCTTTCTTAGGAAGTTTTCTTGAACCTTTTTGGGGCCTGCTTAAAGTTTTCTTTACATCGTTAAACAAGTCTCTGTGTTGTCAATCCCCGACACCCTCCACACGTTCTCAGACACAGGCCGCGCAGCAGATGCGACACTTACCAGTCAATCAGATTCAAAGAGTCAGAGGTTAACAATGGGTTTGTGAACTAGAAGTCGTTTCCAAAGGAGGAAGAAAGAGACCAAGTGAAGAGGGAGAAGTACCTAACTTTAAGATCTCATGCTTTAAGCTCACGGCATATGACATGGCATCACAATAAAATCCTGCCAAAGCTTAGGGAATACTGCCACTAGATTTTTATTTATCCTGGAACAGCTCAAAATAAACAATCCTACATCAATTGTAAATGTTAGGATCAAGGAATTTTTAAAAAAGAGAATTTCAACTTCATTTCCATTTTGACAGTTTGCTTGTGTGATATTTAATCTTGATTGAAGATATTCAGAATCACCATGGAAACACATTTCTGGGTGTGTTTATGAGGGTGTTTCCAGAAAGATTTAACTGAGGAGGGGAGACCCATGCTGTATGGTGGCAGCACCATGCCATGGGCTGGAGGAGGCAGACTGAAGCTGAGAAGTAGCACTCACTGCCCTGTTTCCTGACTACAGGTGCAGTGTGAGCAGCTGTCCCAGATGCCAGGCCTTCCTCACCATCATGAACTGAACCCTCAAACTGTGAACCAAAACAAGTTCTAAAGATGCATCTTACAGGTATTTTGTCATAGCAATAACAAAACAATCGCTAATGTAACTGTTTTGATTAAATAATATTGTTAATTTTAAGAATCTAATTTCAGCTAGATACGGTGGCTGAGGCAGCTGGATTGTCCTATGTTGAAGGCTATCCTGGGGTATATAGTAAATACCAATCCAGCCAGGGCTACATAGCAAGAATATCTCTAAAACAAGAAAGAGTCTAATTCAAGAACTATCTTACCTGACCTGTGGGGTAACTTTAGCACAAAGGGCTTCATATCTACCACAAAGTGATCAAATTCTGCATCCAGCTTCTCCCATTGCTCTTCTTCAGTCTCCATTTCCACAATCCGTCCTGTGAAAGAGTTACAGTTAAGCATCAAGTATCTGTATGAGGGAAGCTAGGAAACCATGATAAAATACATTAAAGAAAACTTGCCAATTAAATGCCAGTCCTCCTTCATTGGCTTCTAGACTCAACGAAATTCCAATCAAAACTCTAAAATTTACATGAGAAGTTAAAGCAATCAGAGCATCAGCTACAACCTTGAAAAATCATGAAGCTGGAGGTTTCACATCACCATACTTTAAGATGTGCTATAAGACATTATGGCTCTGTCCACAAAACAAATAGACCAGGAAGACCGAAGAGAAAGCACAAAGTGACCAATACAAACATGGACTCCTGACTTCCAACAAAGGAATAATCAAAAAGAAATGACAGTTTTTCTAACAAATAATGCTGTAGCAATAATGCTATACTAAATTAAGCATCTAAATTAAGTCCAATAAATAGTGGACCTAAGTGCAAACTGTAAAAATTGAAAATAAAGGAAAAGATCTCCATGACTTTATTAAGGCAAAAAGACAATTATCCACAAATAAAAAGCTGATATACAATATTGGACTTCACCCTCCAACCCCCCCCCCAAAAAAAACCGTGCAAGCTTCAATCTGTGAAGACTCTATTAAGGGACTGAGAAAATAGAGACTGGGGGAAATTCTTGAAAATAGTGAATTTATAAATAACTTATACCAATAGCACATGAATGACTGGGGGAGCACAGTGATGTGTGCTGTGAGGCCCTGCTTCAACCTCCAGCACAGAATAGCAGTATTAATAAAGAAATTCTGAATAATTCTCATCACTTAGCCATAGAATAAAAACTTGGCAGTAATTGATTGTATGTTTTAAAAAAGAGAGTAGAGATGATGAAAACAAATGAATCATAAGATTGTGAAATGATGGTTGTACCAACTACCCTGTTGTCATTATAGAATGTACACATGGTTTTAAGTATAGTACTGAATCTTCCAAACACGGATAGCTCCTATGTGGCAGTTAAGATGATATTTTAAAACATCAATCCCTTAACCAAAGAAAAAATACAAATAATGGCAATTACGCACATTAAAAGATGTTCAACATTACTACCCACTAGGGAAACCAAAACCAAAACCATACCGCATTACCCCAACAACACATGAGAACAGCCAAACTTCAGGCAAGGATGCAAAGTGCTGGTGAGGATGAAGGACACAGAGCTCAAAAAGAACAAAAAAGAACACAGCGCTGGTGTGTTGCCAATCGGAGTGTGAAACAACACAGGGCAGTCCTTCAAAGCTAATCATGCACTCACCACATGACCAAGACATCCCAAATGAAATGTAAAGTCTGTATCCAGACAAAAAGCGCAAATGTGGTGCTTAGAGCAACTTTTTTTAAAAAGGCAGTGCAAACAGCCCACAAATTGTAATATCACCACACATACTAACACTGCACTAGGAAACTGCCGGGCCATTTAACTGTTCTGCACATGAAATGAAGATGAGCTTGTAAAGTCTATACATGTATAAGAATTCACTGAACTCCATACCAAAATCTTAAAGTCCTTCAATTTCCCCCCTAAATTATAAAATTATTAATTCTTCATGTATACTGAATATATAACTGGGATAAAGCTGATAAAACCAGAAACAAACTAAACTTATGTTAAAACATATCCAGGAGGTAGTGAGGTGGTTCAGTTGCCAAAGAGCTCACTGCTTAAGCGCAGGGACCTGAGTTCAAATCCCCAACACTCACATAAAAAAAATCCAGGCATGGTCACCTGTGTCTGCAATCCTATTGCAGTGGAGGCAGAGACAGGTGGGTTCCTGGAATTCACAGGATATCCAGTCCACCAACAGATGAGTACAAGGTTCAGTGAAAGACCCTTTCTCAAAGGAAGAGGTAGAAGGAGTTTTACATCTGATCTAAACACACCTCCAACCCTTACCTATAGCACAAGCATGTAACGCTACTCCGAATGCCCAATGCCTACCTGGGTTACAGCATGATCTTGAGGCAAGCCTGGACAATTTATACAGACTTTATCTAAAAAAAAAAAAAAAAAAAAAAAAAAACAGTAAAAAAGAGCCGTGTAGCCGGGCGTTGGTGGCGCACACCTTTAATCCCAGCACTCGGGAGGCAGAGGCAGGTGGATCTCTGTGAGTTTGAGGCCAGGCTGGACCGACAGCCTCCAAAAAAAAAGAAACCCTGTCTCATAAAACCAAAAAAAAAAAAAAAAAAAGAGCTGTGTGTAGTTTAAGTGGTGCCGTATTTGCCTAGTATGCCTGAGCCCCACATTCAGTCTGCAGAACCTCAAGAAATTAATATCATGTATATTAATGTGTGTATACATCCACCTCAAACCCCAAAACTGAAGAAAAAGAGAAAATATATATCCATAATCAATATGTTCATTTAAGCTATGAACTACCATATACTTACATAATATATAATACCCAACTCATCACATATTTACAAACTATGGATTGGGGTAAAACTTTGCTCTGCCTTAAAAGCTGTCCTATTCTACAACTTAACCTCATCCATGAAAAACGAGTTTCCAGCATTTACAGTTTCTCACCAATAATCTCTACAACCACCTGTCCTGTCTTGAGTAAGTTACCCTACCTTTCACCAGTTCACTTCACCCCTCACAGCCACGAGAGGGAGCTATGGCCTCACTATTGCACACAGGTGCAGGTCTTTTCATCTCTCACCATACATTTGTATGTCATTTACATACTTTCTACGTCTGGGAGAGACTCTTGGAAAGCATGAGTCTCGACTTACACCTTAGTAAGTACCTTCATATTGTCTAGCATATGTTAGGAGCTAAAGAACTGATTGCTGAATAAACAGATTAGTGTTCAACTTATGCGAGACTAATTGCCTTTTTGACCATTGTTTTGGAGGGGAGTACAAGTGTATGTGGGTGTGTGTACACTTTCATGTGGAGTTTTCACATATCTTCCTTGATCACGATCCACATTAACTTTGGAGAGAGGGCCTCTCACCAAACCTGCAGCTCATCAATTCAGCTGGGCTATCTTGCCAGGGAGAACCAGGAACCCATTTGTCTCTAGCGTTACAGATGCACACCACCAAGCTCAGCTTTTGAGTGTTGGGGATCCAAACTCAGGTTCTCATACTTGAACAGCAGGCACTTTACAGACAGAGCCATCCCCCCAACCCCAGATGACTGGTTTTTAATGATTCTATTCTGAACACTAGCAGGTCTTACAGAACTGGAATATTACATGCTCCTAATTCCACTTGCCAAAAATGGCCGTCCTACTTTCTGTGTTTCAAAGGTATGTGTTTTCAATGTTAAGACATAGTTAAGACAAACTTCATTCAGAGTTGGGGAGGTAGTTCTGTGGCAGAGTACTTGCCTGGCATACATAATTAACTAATCAAGTAACTTGGCTTAAATTAATTTAATGACTAGTTGATTAGTTTGGAGTTGTGTTTGTTTTGCTTTGTTTTAAATTCCAACAATATAGTCAGTAGTTGAAAGTACAGTATGGTATTATCTAAAACACATTATGATAGCATTCTAGACAATAAAGTGAAAACCACTATTCAAATGGATACATGAAGCAGTGGGAACGCATAGGTTCACAACTTTAAGCACAGCTCTGCCCTAGATGTACTTCCAGGCTTACGCGTCATGTCCATGTACTCGAAAATTTTGCCTAAGCCTGTCGTTTGCTGTGGCCAAAGCAAAAAGGTTCCTCATAATCACTAATTCTCAATAAATCCTTTGACATTTGTGGAAATGTTAGTGTTTGATATTAAAGGAAACTAAAATTCAGCGGTTAAGTGACTTACTAAAATCATATAATTAAGCAAAGCCCAGATTAAAATTCTGAAATCCCTAGCTCTTACATAATCTAACCACTTGGCCATTGACATGTTAAGTCAGATATATCGCCAACTAATAAAAAAGTAATTTGACTAGTAGAAAGGCAATCTGAATGCTATCAGGATATGTAATAGTCAAATCACACTCTAAGAAAAGCAGAAACGGGCTGGGTCAGTTATGTGCTTGCGGAAGAAGCAGGAGGACTGCGCTTGATCCCCAATAACCACCTAAGAAGGCAGGCGTAAGTCGCAGACACCTGTATTTCCAGCACCAGAAAGACAGACAGGCTACCTAGAGCTCACTCGCCCCAGCCAAGTCTAATCAGAGAGCCCAGGTCTCAACAAGAGATTCTCTGAAACAAGCTGGACAGTTCCTGAAGACATCTGAGGTCACATGACTCCTGGCCTCCAAATCTGTGTGCATGCACATACCCACACAAAAATAGTGATACTTAGTCAAAGCTAAAACTCTTCCTTTCCTTGCCCCTTACTCATTCTCCAACAACAAAAAACTACAAACATTTCAATATTTGAAGGAATTTCTGCTACACAAATTATACCCTATACACAAATTACATCAAGCTATGGAAAATGTTTTTATACTATTCATCGGAACTTCAGGTTTAAGGTATTAAAAATAAAAAATAAAGGCCGGGCATGGTGGTACACGCCTTGGATCCTACCACTTAAGGGGCAGAGTTCAAGGCTAGCCTGGTCCACAGAGTGAGTTCCAGGACAGCCACAACTATGTTGAGAAACCATGCCCCAAAGGGTTTTTTTAATGGAAAAATAAGTAAGGCTCTATCTTTGGTTTAAAATTAAATCACTCATAGCATGTCTTCACTGACACAAATTACAATGTGACTACTACATGTACAACCTACCTCAAAAGTATAAAAAGAATTTGGGTGGCTCTTATATTTATATTCTGTATTTATATCGTGTTTTTTATTGAACTCACTGGCCTCAGTTTTAAAAATCTGTTTCTTTGTGGGCAGCTATAAAACAGGCTAAGACCTGTTTCCAAGTGCTTGGCTGCCATAAAAGTCAGCAAAGCACATGCAAGTCACCAATAGTAACAGCTTTAAGAGAGACAACTGCTAAGCCAAGAACACACCTCATAAGCATAGCGTGTACTTTGCCAAACGCAATATATTCCTGAAAGCTGTATAAAATGCTATTTTTTGTTCCATCAAATCATAGTTTAAATACATTGTGGAGAGTACTTGAAATGCCAACGAATCAACAAGGGCTACCAGGGCACATTTTTGCAGGTTACATATCTGGATGTCTTCCCAGAGGACATCCGGGGCAGCTGTGGGCATTAGAAATGTACCCTGGTGCGTCCTCCAGGGCACTTAAGCAGATAGACACGATTTCCACTCTCCTTTACAGGCTGGAGGTTGGAGCTTAGCGGTGTGAATGACTCGACTGAGTACTGGGCAATCAGTTGGACCGGAACACTGCGCACGCACATGACCCTGCTTTCCACTTAGCTGGGGGCAAGGGAATTAGCCACTGTGGCACGGAGCTCACTGGTAAAGGCAAGTCATAGATACCAGCATACCGATGTGGTGGGGAGAGGGCACACGCCCTGTCATCCCAGCACTCAAGGAGGCAGAGGCAGGTGGCTCTCTGTGAGTTCGAAGCCAGCAAGGTCTACACAGTGAGAGCCTGTCTCAAACACGAAAGGCAGCTAGCTGTCCTGTGTGCTCGTTCTCGGGATCGCTGCGAACCCTGCATGTCCCGCTGAAGGGCCGCGACTCCGGGCTGGGAACTTTGCAAACCCCAAGCTCATGAGGACTTTCTCGGTGCCAGCCTGCAGTCGGGTCCTGCTCCTCTCACTGATCTGGGGGCGCTTGAGACCTGCAGCGGTGCGGCCCCGGCGGTCACTTCCTCCGCTGGTGTGAGCGGCGCCTGCGTGGCCCACCCAAGGCCCGGGCGCTCTCCTCCCTCTCTGCTCCAGGACTCGGCTCTCTCCTCACAACCACAAGCCCCCTACCTCAGGGCTCTGGGCCACGCCATGCCGCCTGACCAAACTTTACTGAGCACTCTCCCGGGCCTTCGCTCGGTTGCTTAACCCCGCGGGGCGCGCGCCACACAGGCCGCAAGCGCGGGTCCCCGGCCTGCGTCGACGCCCCTCCCCGAGCCAGCCCGCACGCGCGGGGGCTCCATCCCGCGCAAAATTCCACTCAGAACCTGGGAGCAGGGCGGGAGGGGGAGTTATTGGGAAGAGAAGAAGGAGAGAGAGAGACAGAGAACCTGGAGCCCCCACAAGCAAGCCGTCCACTCGGCCGCCGCCGCCCCGCCGCCACAGCCAAACGGTTTCAAATCCTTGCGGGCCGATGGGTCGCCGGCGTCCAGCATAACCCGGGGGCGGGACTACCGAGCTCGCCTGTCCCGCCCCCTGGAGCAGCGGCTGGCACGCAACGCGGTTGCCATGGCGACGCGCTGGGGGTCTGTCTATCACGGCCCCTCACATCCTAGGGGGCGGGAGTTTCCGCCCTCCAGGGTGCGGTTGTCATGCAAGGGGCGGAGACTTCCCTCCGCGCTGTTCCCCCAACCTCCGGGAAATGGTCACGCCTCCCCCCCCAAGCCGCTCCGTTGCTGTGGTAACTGTCTGATCCACTACGCAGGCGCCGAGCTCGTGTTTTCTCCTGTCCCGGCCCACAGCGGTTTCAAAGCTTCATCTCCTGTGATCCCTGGACTAGGGTGTAGACGCTGCTGCTTCCGTAGCTCGCGAACACTTTAGAGACTGAGGAGAAAACAAGGAAAACTCAAAGGCGACGGAACTACTGGACAATGTGCACAGAAAAGCCTGTCTGTCGTTTGGACAGGCAGCGCCTTGGAGTTAAAGCAGGGAGAAGGTACCCTTGCTAGCTCACACTCCAGACAGGGGTGAGAGGCCAGTGATTCAGGACAAGGAGCAGTGTATGTTCATTCGTTGTTTAGATCCATCATAAGTCTGCAAACACTAACCCTGAAAGATGCTGAGCTGGAATTAAAGGTGGTCTGTCTACCACTCGACAGAGTCGGACCATGGGGGCGTGTGTGTGTGTGTGCGTGTGTGTGTGTGTGTGTGTGTGTGTGTGTGTTCTTCCCGGGAAATGCCATGGGCCTCAGGGCAGTCTACACTGCTGTGTCGTGGTGTTCTTTGATCTTTTACGTTTCTGGAAGCCCTGACTGTGTGCTTTAAAATACCAACAAAAAAACTAAATTTAAATCACTAAGAATACTGCCTTAAATGAACTCCGGTGTGCCACTGTTTTTCATCTAACAGAATTCCTTCGGTAGAATCCTTGCAATACACTCAGTGTGGTGCCAAACCTAACCTAAGCACAGCTTGAAACATCTTTTCAATTTTTCCATAAGAAAAACAGAAGAATCGCTTGTTTGTAATTAGTTATTTTCAGCTTCCAGAAAGAAACCACAACCTTTTCGAAGCGCACTTTCAAATCCACCTCACTGGAGGTAAACACAAATAGCTCCTCGTTGTTCCAGAAGTGAACACACTCACAACTGAAGAATAACCCATAATCCAGATCGTTTGTACGGAGAATCAGATTGTAAAACCCACATATGCAGAGATGCATCTAGTCAGAGACCACGGAATGTAAGAGTGGAGCCGATTGGAGAAAGAACTTCAAGGAAACTTCGCTGCATACAGCTAACCCAGTTCAGTGTCGGGTTCTTTGCCCTTTTCCTTTTCCTTTCCCAGCTTGCCGGTGCGAGGCTTAGATTTTGGGTCCGGTACATTGTCACCCCCGTGGTGGCAGATCTCAGTGTTTCTGTCATTGTAATTGGTTCTAAAAGCTTGCACCTGCTTAGCCAGAGTGTTTCCCTCTTCTGAGTTAATCATGATGGCAATGGTGGTGCATGTCTTCCTGTGGACCAGCCGTCCCAGTCTGGCCTTCTCTTTGACGAAGCCGTAGGACAAGGCAGACAGAGGGCCACCAGCTCAGTGGGGTCCACACCGTGTGTAATCACCAAGAGCATGCTCCGGGGAAGGTGGTCGCTAAGTGGGGGCGTCTCTTTGCCAGCAGCTTTCTTCTCTGTACAGCCTGCAGCCTTAGCTTCTGCTTTGTATCTGCCCTGCACTTTTGGGCAAGCATCAGCAGACGGTGGCTGTGTGACCGTCCAGGGTCTGGGTGAAGTGACTAATCGAAGGAGGCGCTTTGAGCTGCTTATAGACAATGGTTCTTTGCTGGTTTACAGCCAGACAGAGCAGGGCAGTTAAAGTGGGTGAGGTCTCTTCTGGTCTGCGTGTCTTGCCCAATGCTGAAGTTCTTGGGCCTTTTCTCACAGGATTCACCACTTTTTTTTTCTTGCTTCTTCATGATGGAGGGACAGTAGCCATCTTCTTCCCCTTGGCCCTTTTTACTTTGTGTATCTTTTTTGGCTGGAGGAGAGAGTGTATATTGTATTCTTGAAAATATTCCATTCAAGGTATATTGCTGTAGTGTTCGCCATGTAAAATAGATAAGTACGTGCAATAATGTATATGTTAATTTGCCCACTAGCCAGTCCATTCATGCATATCTCAAAACATTGTGTGGTACCAATAAATGGATGAGATTTTTAGACAATAAAGAACAAAAACACAAGGGGTGCAGAGACCGTGTCTAGTAGGTAACTGAATGCTTGCATGTGCATGAGGACCAGAGTTCAGATCCCCTGCCAGGTGGGTGTGGTTCCCACGTATAATCCCAGCACTCAGGCAGAGACAATATCCCCATAGCAAAATGGCTAGTTATATAATCTGTATAGATGAGCTCTGGGTTCAAATGGGACAAAGTGTCGAATGATCAAGGAAGACTGCTAACATCAACCTCAAACACACACACACACACACACACACACACACACACAACCAAACATGTCTACATACATGCAGTCACATCACATACACATATTTTCAGAGGGGGCAGGAGGAAAAATATTATTCAGTCAAGTTCAGAGGAAATGAGGGAAGGAATTTTACTTCCTTAATATCTACCCTCTAACCTCTCCAAAAATAACTCTTGGAAAATATTAATGTAGACTGGAATTATGATAGCACATTTTTCTTTTCTTCAATGTTTTTCTTTGATGTGAATTTGTCTAGTCATTTGAAGGACTGTGAGTAATAAACACGCTGAAGAATACATGACACAAAAACAAAAGTTACTGACTTTGAATCACTGCAGTAGATTATCAATTATTTCTGTTCCTAATCAAGAGTAATCAAGAATTAGCCATAAAAAGAAATGGAGTTTTATTTACTAAGCTAAGAATTTTTAGTTGCATATTTTTTCAGATTTTGTATCCATGCTATTGTAGTTAAATTATAAAATACTGAGATCTTTAAAGTAGAAAATTAACAAAATTTTACCATTAAAAACTAACCAGGATTGGGGCTAGAACAGTGGTAGCACACACCTTCAATCCAATCACATGAGAAGCAGAGGCAGGCAGATATCTGTGAGTTCAAGGCCAGCCTGGTCTATAGAGCAAGTTCCAGGACAGCTAGGGCTACACATAGAGATTCTGTCTTGAAAAACAAAAACAGTAACCAGGCTTAACATGTATCAGACACATATGTTCAAACCTTATATCTATATATTACTCCACCACCATTTTAAAGATGGCCCTATTATCCCACCATATGGATATAACATAATTTGCTTATTTTCTCCTGTAGCCTCTAATTCTGGTTCTCACAATACTTCTGTAATAAAAGTCTTTGTTGAAGTCTCAGTTACCTAGTTATCTCCATATGAGAGACATATCTCATATATGTATGTGTGTACGTGTGCGGTATGTATGGAGGCCAAAGGTCAATGACAGGTATCTTCCTCAGTCACTGTCCATCTGAGTTTTTGAGACAGTGTCTCACTGAACCTGGAACCTGCAGATTTGACAAGATTGTCTGTCTACTCCTGCCCAGCCCCACCTACTCCCAGTACTGGCGTTATGATCTCCTACACCTGACTTTTATATGGATACTGGAGATGGAACTCAGATTCTCATGTTTTCATGGCATGCACTGTATTGACTGAATCATCTTTTCAGCCTGAACAAGAGATTTTCAATGGACATAAAAAAGTATTAAGGCTTTGCCCCCAAATTACTCTCCAAACTTATTTTGCAAATCTCTAAGATGCGGCAGTCTAAAAGAGTGTCAGAGTCACATTACAACTTTTTGGATCTATGCAAATTATATCTTTAAAAATGTGCACGACTTTCTTAATTTGCATGTTCTACTCTTTAAAAATGTTATTGTTTCTTAGTAACCCCTTTTAGTCTTCCATGGTAGAACCTCTTTTGCTCTGTCATTTTTGAGGAATTTGATATGAGATTGTGTGGTGGTTTGAATGAGTATAGCCCCGTAGGCTCATGTATTTGAATGGGTGGTTCCCAGTAGGTGAGCTATTGGGAAGAATTAGGAGGTGTGTCCTTGTTGGAGGAGGTGTGCCATTGCCCAGGCTCTCTCTGTCACCTGTCTGTAGATCAGAATTTAAAGCTCTCCATAGGTGCCACCATGCTCTCCATAATGATGATGATGAGGTAACCCTCTAAAACTGTAAGCAAGCCCCAAATTAAATGCTATCTGTAGTAAGAGTCACCTTGGTCGTGGTGTCACTTCACAGCAATGAAACAGTAGCTAAGACAGATAGATTGACCAAAAACTTTCACAGTTTAAAAAAAAGAATTAACTGTCAATGGCTCTGCAATTTTGTGTAAAGCTGATAGTTTGTGCAATCAAATTTTAGTCATGATTCACTTCTTTTACTTTTACCGCGGCCCCCCGTGTGTGTGTGTGTGTGTGTGTGTGTGTGTGTGTGTGTGTGTGTGTGCGCACGCACCATGGCAGTCAGAGAACAACTTAAGGGAGTCACTTGGTCCAAAGGGTCAAACTCAGGTCATTAAGCTTAGCAGGGAGCATCTTTGCCCACTGAGACATCTTGCTTATTCCACCATTTTCTGTTATTAAATTATCATTAGAATAAAATCTTGAATGACTTATCTAGATTGGAAGCAATTTGTAAATACTAAGAATCATTCCTCTGTTGTCTTGTATAAACATATTAGAGATAAATATCAGAACAGGCCCATAACCAGTAAATTCCTTTCGTTGGATGGGAAGTGACTCAGAACCTTCTATTTAGAGACCACAAAAGTATAAGTTACACCGCAAATCAATGCAGTTTCAAGAGAGCAGAGAGTAAACGGCATATTTTCTCTTCTTCATTAATAAAAATTGAAAAGGTAACTGCCTTTAGTGCACTGACTCTGGATTCATTAATTTAAGCCAGAACTAAGCAATATTCAACATTCCATTCCTTCTTCAGCTGTCCAACCCCACTTCTTGGAGAAATTCATGCTAAGAGTTATTAACCAGAAGCCGGGCTTTGGTGGCGCACGCCTTTAATCCCA